CCAATATTGATTACCCGTTACTGTAAAAGAGGTTTCGGGTCGTCTTTCCTGTTTATTTTCATGGAGCGTTTGGTTTCCTTCTGTTTCTTACACGTGTGTATCAAGTGTGTCTGGATAGGTGCTGCATGTTTTTCAAAAAAAAAAGTTGGTGATGAAGATAGGTTGGTGTTCAAAACTTTCGGACTTACCTATCAGGGGTTCCTATTCGGAATTCATGGCTTCCTTTCCCGGTGTGGCAGCCGACGATGAAGCAGTGAAGGTCTTGGCGTCCAAGTGGTCTCATCCCGGGTGACGGCAAGGCTCAATCGATGCAGGTGCTGTCAAGGACTCCCTTGCGTTTTTCTTTCTCTGTTCAGGGTTCTTCCTACATTACTCAGGGGAAACCTCGTAATTTCTTGGTTACTTTGGGTCCCGTTGTAATCTGCTCTGTACCGACGTGTTATGCTTTATGCAATAATGAAGTTCTTTTTCAAAAAAAAATACTACGAGTAGTGCAAAAGACGTGGTTCCTAGAAACAAAATTGATGGTGAAGATAAGGTCCCCTCAAGTTGTGGGGTCTTCATTCAGTTTAAAAGAAAGTTGTGGTCTTAAATGATTATTACTACTATATAAAATTATAGCTCAACGAACGTACCCACTGTGCCACCTTCCACTCTACTCTCCTCGGTCCCCAGCCCCTGGCGATGGCCTTCTCCGTCACCACCACGTCCCTGCGCGGCGTCGTCGCCGCCGTCCCGGCCCGGCGCCCGAATCCGCTCGCCGTGCTCCTCCCCCGGGCGGCTCGCCCCCATCTTCGCCTTGGGGCTGGCCGCCCAACGCGCCTCCCAGTCCCACTCGCCGCCTCCTTCTCCGAGGTGAGCATATGCAGCAAATCCCCGATCGAGTTCCTTACTTGGCGAACAATTCGCCAGATCTCCCGGTAAATTGGGCCGGTTCATGCGTGAATGCCTGATTGGTTCAAGTGTATGTGCTTGCGCTGTTGTGCGGAGAAAGTTCTTGATTACCAGATTTGTGTCTTCAGTTTATGTTGTTGAGAGAGAAATTACGTGTAGCATGTTCAGAAAACTTTAATTTGGGATAGGAAAGGGTCCTACGTACTGTGCACGAGATCTGGCTAGACACAACTCAATGCGCTGCTGCATCTGCTTGATCATACTCCTACACTCTGTATAGGAATATGACAAGTGCAATTTTATTGGGAAAAAGATAATCCATATATATGTATATATCCACATTAGCTTCAAAAATTGTCTTTAACCCACACTTGTATTTTTTTAGCCGATAAACCACACTTGTATTAGTATTTGAAACATATAAATCTTTCATCTTATTCTAAAATGCAATCTTCATCTAGGATCCACGTGGCTATGGGTTCGAAAGGCCCCCCCATGATGTTGGGTCTTCTTCATTCCGCATGTACGTGGGCAACCTGTCATGGCGACTGGATGACTCCAGGTTGGCACAACTATTCAGCGAGCACGGCACCGTGCTCTTCGCTAAGGTCATGCGTGACTTACAAACCGGGCGCTCAAAGGGATTCGGCTTTGTAGCAATGGCATCACATGAGGAACGCGAGGAGGCCATCGCGGCCCTCAACGGGCAGGCGAGTGTGTGTGTGTGTGTGTGTGTGTGTGTGTGTGTGTGTGTGTGTGTGTAGTCGATTTCTCTCTCATTTTACATATATAGTGTCATGCAAGATATATAGCCAATGTCACGGTGACTCTCAGATGGTAATCTGAACTCTGCAGATCTTGGAGGGGCTTGCCCTGCGAGTGAGTGTCGCGGAGGAGCCAGACGTGACTGTAAGCAAGGCGGTTCCAGGAGACACCCGGGTGGAAAGCCCTCCTCCCCGTCATGTTGTTGGGCCTTCATTTCGGTTGCACGTGAACAACCTTTCATCGAATGTGGATGACTCTAGGCTGGCACAAATGTTCAGCCAGCACGGCAAAGTGGTCTATGCTAAGATCATCCGTGATTTCAAAAGTGGGCGCTCAAAGGGATTCGGTTTCGTAGAGATGTTGTCGCGGGGGGAAATGGACAGCGCCATCACAGCCCTCCATGGACAGGTTCGTTGGTAGTCGATTTCTTTGTCATTTACATAACGAATAGTAATAGCCAATGTCACAACGAGCGAGTCTCGGATTGCTATCTGAATTCTATAGAGCTTGGAGGGGCGTGTCATGCGAGTGAGTGCCGCCGAGGTGCCAGGCATGACTGTAAGCAAGGCGGCTCCAGGGGTAGAAAGTTCCCCTCCCCGTCATGTTGTTGGGCCTTCATTCCGGTTGCACGTGCACAACCTGTCGTTGAACATGGACGACTCTAGGCTGGCTCAGATGTTCAGCCGGCACGGCAGAGTGGCCTATGCTAAAGTTGTCCGTGATATCCATAGCGAGCGCTCAAAGGGATTCGGTTTCGTAGGATTCGGTTTCGTAGAGATGGCGTCACAGGAGGATATGGACAATGCCATCACAGCTCTTCATGGACAGGTTCGGCAGATATCACATATTTGACCTGAGGCAGAAATCAATTCACAAACTGACCTGCTTTCAATAAAATTTCACTCTGCTGACCCTTCGGTGTGACGCTCGACAGCTGGGCGTCGCACCCTACTATGCAGCGCCCATTACTTAGGCGTTGCACTTGCTGCCAGCGTGGCAGCCCTGGTCCAGCTGCGGCCCACACGCACCTGTGCAGCGCCTAAGTCTTAGGCGCCACACGTGTAATGTGCAGCGCCTAGCTCGTGTGCGCTGCACAGTCTGTGTTCCACTTGGGCTGGCCCCACCCTCTCTCCCCTCCCACCCCCACCCCACACACCCCCACCCCACCCAAACCCTAAGGCTTGCGGCCCTCCTCTCTTCCCC